ATTCCCCTCTGATGACTTTCTGGAGGCTCACACTCCGATTAGATCAAAACATCTCTCAAATATGTTAGTGGGGGTAAAGAGAGCAAAACCAATCTTCTCACATCTCAAAATGGCCTGTATATGAATTCAAACTGAGAAATTAACATTTTAGACCAAATTTTAAAGATCTGAAGAAATCATTATTTATGTCTAAGATTAACCACACATTTAGTTACTGATTCTGTTTATATTTACTTCACTGTTGTTTATTGATTGCCTACTATATAGCAGGTGTTTGGCATGAAACACCTAAAGATGACCTGAAAGTCTTGATTTTTAAGTATTTCACATTTCAAAGATAAATTTCTGGGGTTTATGATGATTTTCTACATTTTTGGTACAATATTCCCTGCTGTGTCAAAACAGTGTTCTTTAAGGGATAGCTGAAACTTTTCTTTTTTGTTATTCTACATCCCAATCCCTTTCTACTTCTAAAATAGGCCCTGCTGTGTGAATCTTACTAGGAAAAAGGCCCCGCTTCTTGCTCAGGAAGTTGAAGAGGCCAAATACCTTCTCCCGATGACCACCGAAAGCTGAGATGTGGACGTCTGACCTGGAATCAGCCAGTGGGTCCTCTCACCCAGGGTGTTCCATCCTGAGGGCGTGGTAGAAAATCCGAGGACACTGAGAGTCACTCTTGGTGTTGGCAGCGGTGCTGAGTGTCCAGTGGTGTCCACGGCTTTGACCTGAACAGACTGCTCCTGGGAGCTGGCCCTGGCGTGTCCTCAGCTGCCAGGCCTCTCTTGGTTCCCATCTCTGGTCTGAGCTGGCTCCCTGTGCAGTCGCTGAGCTCTCTGAGACCCTTCTATGAACCTTCTCTTCTGCTTAGGTTAGCCAGGCAGTTTCTGTTGTTTGCCATCAAGAACTCTGACTGATCCAGAGGGTCACATGGAATATAATGCAACCAACAAAACCATTTAGAGTCAGCTAACATTCATGGCCTGCAGGCATTGTGCTAAATGCTTCAGATAAATGATGTCACCAAGTCCTCCAAACGACAGGGTGAGGCAGGCGTGTGAGTCTGTTCTTTCAAATATCATCTTAAGGCCCTTCCCCTCTATGAGGGCTTTTCTGACCTCTGCTCCCTCTTGCAAGTGGACTTGATTCCTCCTTTGTGCCCATTCTATGCCCTATATGTATAATATTACATATAAAAAGTACAGGGGCTGGCCCGGTGGCTCAGCGGTTAAGTTCCGCACATTCCGCTTCGGCAGCCCGGGTTTCTTCGCTGGTTTGGATCCTGGGTGCAGACATGGCACCACTTGGCAAGCCATGCTGTGGTAGGCGTCCCACATATAAAGTAGAGGAAGATGGGCACGGATGTTAGCTCAGAGCCAGTCTTCCTCAGCGAAAAGAGGAGGATTGGCAGCAGATGTTAGCTCAGGGCTAATCTCCTAAAAAAAAAAAGTACATATATATCATAATATATAGTGTATTCTGTATAATATGTAATATATATATATATTTTATTTGCTTGCCACTTGTTATGCTTTTACTGTGTGTGAGATACTGGGCTTTGCAATTCACTGACATTATCTCAAGCCATTCCCACCAGAACTTTATGAGTTGGATATATTATCTATTTTACAGAAGAGGAAATGAGAACAGGAAAGGTCAGGTAACTTTTCAAGGTATTACCTGTGCATCACAGAGTAGAGATGTGCAGTTAGTCCATTTGTTCTGTTCTGAATCCCAACCTTCTGCTCTTGTGAACGGCCCACACAGCCTCAGGGCATCCTAGGGGTGGTGCTCCCTCCTGCTCTGGACTGAGGCACAATTGGCATGTCACTTGTCTTTTTTTCTTACTGATCTGGGAGGGAAGGCAGATCTCTGTTCCATATGGCCCATCACCCATTCCTCTGTCCATGACAGACACCACGAGCCCAGGACTGTACTCCGTCCCAGTGAGCCATCTCAGGAACCCCTCCCCTCTTTCCATTGGAAATCATTCCCAGGTGGTTAGAGATGGATCCTATTTGCCAGTCCTGGCCTAGAACAATGCCTCTCACACAAACGTGCTAAACAAATTGTTGTCAGCATGTTGCTGTTTTCTTCATTTTACAGATGAAGAAATAACAATTAGAGAATTAAATAATAAGCCAATCACCTGGGGATGTTTGTCCCTACCTCACTGGGGTTTTGTGAGGATTAATTACATTAATGCACATAAAGCTCTTTGAATCATGTCTTGGCACAAGGTGAGTTAGTTATTAGCACCATTTCTCAAAAGCACATGGGTTGTATCCAGAATAGGTAAATCCAGAGAGGGAAAAACTGCTGGTGGTTGCAGGGGCTGGAGGAAGAGGGGAATGGGGTGTGACTGCTTAATGGATACTAGGTTTCCCTTTGGGATGATGAAAATGTTTGAACGAGGTAGAGGTGGTGGTTGCACAGCATTGTGACTGTACTAAATGCCACTGTATTGTACACTTCAAAATGGTTAATTTTATGGTCTTTGAATTTTCCCACAATTAAAAAAAGGCACAGAGGTTGTAATGGATGGGGCAGGACCAGGGAGGCCCTGAGAGTGACCCTTACATTGTGCTCCTTGGGTCCTTAGCTCACGTCACCTAGTCCCAGCCCTGGTGATGTAGCCAGAATTTGGATCAAGCCTTTAGTTCTCTAAGTAAAGTGTTTTTTCCACTTCAATATGTAGCATTAGAAATCAGGAGAAGTCCATCCTCACTGGTGGACAGTTGTGATCTGTGTGCTGATAATTGCAGAAATAGGAGGAGTGTCTCCACCTCAGGCAGGAAAACAAATGAATTTTTAAGGCCCTTTATAGTTTACCAAGCAGTTTTAGAGAACAATGGTTGTAAATAATAGAACTTCCTGCACCTGAGTAATCCATCTAATGTGCATAGTTTTGATGCAAAAAATCTATAATTGATCTATAAGTCAAAACTGGGGTGAGTTTATTATATGAGCCAGTCTGAGGACCAAAGCCCGGGAGAAACTACCTTCACCAAGAAAGCACTCTGAAGAAGCAGAGATACAGAGTGGTTATATCGCATCTTGGAACAAGGAACATCCATCACATATTACAGGAATATCTCTTTTACTACAGTCATGAGATGTTTTGCTAGAACAATAGGTCATTGGTCACAAGGTGAGCACAGAAAGTTGGTGGTCAGCAGGTCAGTGGTCATGAGATGAGTTACAGCAGGACAGTAATCAATCCTTAGTTTCTGGGAAGAAATGCTTATTCTTTAAGAAATGCTGATATGGGGCGAGGCAATATCCCTATCTTTAAGGGCATCATTCTCATCTTTGGAACATTGCAAATGTTTAAAGCAAATGTACAAAGCATGCTCAACAGGCCATGTCAGGCCTTTCTAGAAAAACAAGGTCAGGCCAAATTAGTTTTAAATGAAATGGCTTCCTCATATACTCCAGTATATCCTATTGCTTTTCATTTATTTATCAATAGTAGACATGATTCAAGGGGAAGAGTGGGCCAGAAAGGAACTCCTGAAGGTTCATACTCAGAAATTTCTCTTCTTGCCCTTGGGTCTGTCTATCTGACTGCAAAGGAAACTCAAAGACTTCAGAACTGTGTCTGTTAAAAGCAAAATGACATTGTTCTCCTCCCTCATTTGTAAGCAGCTCCACTGAGCCTGCTGCGGCATTAATGGGGCTGGTGATGATGAGGATTATTTTAGGCTGGTTACTTTTAAAACTGCAGATGAGAAGGGGGCTGGTTACTTTTAATAAAAGCACCTCTGAGGAGCAGAGTTTGCTTGCCCTTTGTTGGGAAACATTTACATTTGTAAGGGAAACCTCCATCTGTAAAGATGCCTCCCTTTCTGTGCCAGGAGGAAGGCGGGATGGCCTTATCTCTGGGAACTCTTAATGCCAAAGATGCCAAAAGCAAGAACTTAAGTTGTTTACTGTCTGGCAACCTCATGTAACTGACCGCCCCCCCCCCGCCCCCCCCAACATCCTCCTTTGTCTTTGGCTGAGGATAATATTTAAGTGGTGGCTTCTGCCATTTACTCAATCTGGTTTGATTCTTATCTAAAAGTTATAGGACCACCCAATAACCAGACCCTACCAGCACTGATACCATTTGAACAACTTTTTTACATATTCTTTCCTTTGTCTTGTGAAGAGATAACTCACATACCTATGCCTTAAATTTAGCCTTACTCTCCACCCAGGTTAGCAGCAGCAGCTCCCCATGCCAGCAGCATCTCTGACTGCCCATGGGTCCTGTCCCCATGGTGGCAGCAGCAGCGATGGTAGCAACAGCTCCTCCTGCCCGTGGGTCCTGTCCCCACACAGCAGCTCTGACTGCCCGTGGGTCCTATCCCCATGCTATTCCACACTATTCTCTAAATAAAAGAGCACTACTGCCAGATCTTGAGAGTCCAAGAAATCTTTCTTTCGACTCCTTGGCTCACCGACCCCGCATCAGTGACAGCCACTGAGTCTAGGCTAACTAGACCTTGGGGTACAGTCATGACTTTGCCATTAAGCATGAAGCAACTGGGAGAGTCCTCATTAAAACAAATAAAATCTTGATCTTCCATTGCTAATCTCCTTGCAGTTTGCTTTATTTATAACTGTGTAAATGTGGCAACAGCTCATTTCGTAAACACAGCCACCTCACTGCTCATTAATAAACAGGAAGATATTAATAAACAGCCACCTCTCATTTTAAGGCAACTTGACCTATAGAACTTGGCTTAGGATTAAGTGGCAAAAGGAGGTTTTAATTTATTACATGTTGCTCTTGTATTTGTGTTAAAGGGATCCTGAGGTGGCCTTGACCTGATTTCTGGGTCAAGTGGGAAGCCGGTGTCCAAGTGGGCAGCCCAGATGTCTGCCGTCTATCTCCTTGTGGCCTGGCCCCGATGTACCAGTGGAGCAGAGGGGAGGGCGTGGGGGTTACTTCTATTGCTTACAAAACCTTTAAGACATCTTGAAAACCTTTTCAGATTTTTTTTTCTTTCTTTCAGTATAAATTATGAACCTTCTTCCTCTGCCACTGGAGATATGGAGATAAATGGCACAGTTTCTGCCTCCAAGATCTAAAAATCTAACGGGAAGATGACCACCAGAAAAGCTGACTGTAACGTAGGTGAAAAGACCATAATAAAATTTGGGGACCAAGTACCAGGTGAGCAGAGGAGAGGGGATGTTTAATTATATTGGCCAGACTCGGGGTGGGGGGGGGGCTGCAGTACGGGGTGAGATTAGTGAGGGGCTGAGAGAAGAGATGACATTTAAACTGGACCTTGAAGGATTTTCTGGGACAATGAAGGGAGTGGGAGTGTGTGCGTGTGTGTGTGTGAGTGTGGTGTGTGTGAGTGTATGTGTGTGTGTATTGTGGGGACAGGGAAGAAGGTTTTCCAGAGCAATGGAAGAACACAGAACTCTGCACTGAATTGAATTTAGAAAGAGAAAGAGGCTTAGATGATTGGAATGTGGGAACCACCTGGAGGGCAGGTTTGGGGAAGAGTTAGTTGAACAAATCTTGCTTCCCTATCTCATCATTGAGAAAGAACAAAGATGTGGGAAGTTTAGGCAGCCCACTTTAAGATCACAAAATAAGAATGCAGAGAGTAATGGGAAAAGCATGCAAAGGGGAAAAATGATCTTTTGAGATGCTAAGAAGGACCAAGTGACAAATAAAAAATGGCAAGTAATAGGATATATTTGAGAATATGAGGAAGCCATTTGGTGTAAACCTAATTCGGCCTGACCTTGTCTTTCCAAAAGGGCCTGACTGTGGCCATTGAGCATGCATTGTATATCTGCTTTAGATATTCCCTATGGCAAGAACAAAGGCCCTTGAGATAAAGGTGTAACTTCCCTTCCCCTTCCGATGTTGGCATTCCCATAAGGATTAAGCATCTTTCCTTAGGCTAGGAACTGATTGCTGTGCTCACCTGTGACCGCCCAGCTCAGGACAATAGGCTTGCCTTCTGCTACACCTGCTGAGATAGCAGACCCACTACCTGCTGTGTCCATCAAGCGCTGTGCTGACAGGGCAATCTTGTGACTATTGTGGGGGGGACATTTCAATCATATGTAAAGCATCCTCTCTGGGGGTATATAACCACTCTGTATACCTCACTTCTTTGGTGCCCTTTCTTCCTTTGGGAAGAAAGGCCCTGGGCCATGGTCCTCAGATTTCAGCTCAGAATAAACTCACCCAAATTTTCATTTATAGATTGGTTATGGATTATTTTTGTTGACACAAGCTTTCTGTTTTCCTAGGAGTACAGATGATTTTGTCTTGATTTTAGACTGCAGATGTCAGAAAAGGTACCATTGAGGGCCTGTTTTAGCAAAGATATAAGAAGAGCTGGTACTTTAATGGTTTGTGTAGACATGTCTGTGTGGGTGAAGTGGAGGCCGTGGCCTCCGTTTGTGAGCTCACATGGGATCACTGTGTCTTCAGCTTTCATTTTCAGCATTTTTATTTCCAGATTTGTTTTGGTGATTAATTTTTATCATATGTTTATCTATATTAATTTAGGTGACTGACATTTGTGTTTAAATACATTTGTATACTCTTAATCCTGATTTTCTTGGCCTGAGGTTAATTTTTTCTCCTTGAGGAATATAATTCCATTTTTGCCAAGTGACTCAATGGGGAAATTTGACTTTATCACTGGTTTTATGTGATTTGAGTATTTTATATATCAATCACAACTATATTTTCCAGAATTTAGAAATCGAAATATATGTGCTGAATGTTTGCCCAGCACTTTCTGTGCCTGCTGATGTCCAAGGCACCAGCAGATCAGAGAGGAGGTCAGGTCCGTCTCTCTCTGGGCTTAGGCAACCACTCCCTCCCCTCTTGCCCTGCAGGCTTTTCAGCTTCCTTGAGTGAGAACCATGAAGTTTAGGAGGGGTGAACCTTATCTTCAGATCTAGAGGAGGGCCCTGCTTGGTCAGAATAATCCAATTTCCTTGTCATAGTGATTTATATGGTTTAAGCCAATCAGAGCACAGCTTTCCCCTAGCTACAGAGACTGTATCTGGATAGTCCAAAGAGAGTGAAGCTTGGGACTTTTTTATGATGGTTCTAAAAACTGGCTTGGCCTTCACTCTGCCCTTGGATGTGAATGTGGAGCCATCGTGAATGCTGCTGGCAGTCAGTTTATGAGATCAGCCCAGGAACAAAGCCAACATTTAAAGGCAGACAGAACTGAGAGAACTGCAGAAAAATTGAGCCAGAGCCTGGACCAAACCATGCCTGCACTAAGCCATGAACATCCCATGGACTTTTCAGTTACAGGAGGCACTAAATTCCCTTAATTGTTTAAGCCAGTTGAATAGCTTTTCTGCTATTTACCACAGAAATAATCTCAACTGGTAAAACTTTTGCTGCATTTGAGTAATTTAAACAGAATTAAAAGTTCTCATTAAAAGACAATACATTTATAGCTTCTGAGTATTAAATACATTTATGATACTGGTTCAACACAAGGTTGACATAAGGGAAGCCATATTATAGAAAAGAAACCATATTGTAACTTTGAGTGACCTCTGATTAACTAACCCAGACATGCTCTGTAGATTTTGTAGCACCCCCCCCCCAGCTGCTATAAGTTGATAATTTTGTTCTTTTGAGTTCCTCAGGGATGTGATGACCCCCAGGCAGAGAGTCTATGCTGGAAGCCATCATCATTGACAACTGAAAGATCAGGGCATAGGGAGTTGCTCCAGTCTCCAACACATATCCAGTAAAACAAAAGGAACTGAGTTATCAGGAGCTGAGACCAGGTGTCTGCCCCCACCTGGAGATTAGATGGAGGCCCCACTGGGATAAGGTCTATTTTTCAGGGACTTGTAAAATTTGGGTTGTCTATACTCCTTATCCTTCTGGTTCAATACTTGATTGTAAAATGTGCCTTTAAATATTGTTCCAAAACTGTTGAGCAAGGTACAAAATTCTAATAATGCAAAATGTCAACCTGAAGCCAGGAACAAGAGAATATTTCCAAATGAGTGCTAAACAGTTTCATCCTCTAACCCAGATCTAAGCCCCAATTCAGCAGGAAGTAGCTAGATCAGTCATTGCCCTGAACCCCTCAAGAGTTAAGAATGACCAAAGAATAGGGGGATTGAAACTGGCAAACATTTAGCCATTGATGACTAAGTAGCTAGGAACTAAAGATTTTTTTTCCTTTTTGCAATTACTGATTATAGCTTTTAGCTGTTTAACCCACCCATTGTTAACTGTGCTGCTTAGACAATTTGCTACCTGACTCCCAATAGGCTCCTATAGATAACATCTCCCTGGAGCCTGGGTCACTGTGTAATAGGTGTCTGAGCTGTTTTTCAGGAATTAGAACCCCTTTGTCCACTTCAGGCCGGTTGAGACCACCAACTCATCAACTGGGCCCACGCAGATGTCCGATAGGCGACCTCCTGACGTCAAGAGGCTAAAACTCCACACTCAAATCATGCTAACGCCGCCATTTTGTGAGCATGGGTCCTATGAAGAGGCAGGGAGTCTGACTATGCTCGTGCAGATCATCATTACCTCACCTCTCCTCACCTCCAATCACCTCTCTCCACATTTCAGACCACCTTGCCCCCGACCCCATAAATATCCCTGAGTCCCTATATTCAGGCAAGCAGATTTGAGACTCATTCTCTCATTTCCTTGCATGGCTGCCTTGTGATTAAAACCCTCTCTCTGCTGCAGTCTCGTCATCTCAGTGTTTGGCTTTCTGGGCGGCAGGCAAAAATGAACCTGGTGCGGTAACATTTACGGTTTCTGTTATATACACATTGTAAAAGATCAAAACTAAAATCCCCAAAGCTGAACCTCACTGCCTAATTCACACAGAATGAGGGCTATGGAAATTCAAGGAAAACAAACTTTTACTATTAAAGTTTCTTGAAGATAAAGGAAAAATTGTACATGACCCAGAGAATGAGAGCTATTTTGACATAAACTTCTTCCAAGCTAGGCAGAATAGAAACGAAGGAAAACTGATACCAGTTTAAGTCTACTATGTATTGCCAGTTACTTTTATGTACATTATCACACTGGTTCTTACAAAAGTCCTTTGAGGTTGCTATTATCCCTTCCCTCACCTTCCCCCATTTTACATTTGTGGAAACAGGCTCACACAGGAAAAGTAATTTGTTCAAGACCACACAGTTACGTAGTATTAGAGGCAGAATTTGAGTCCAGATTATGTTTTTTCTACAACCTCACTGTTTCTTTGTAGGATATAGCCAGAAATGCCAGGGTCTGTTGATGCCAGCTGGGGTTAGAGCAACTTAGCCGGAACCATCATATGCTAGTGTCAGAATGCAGTTAGCAGTTTCTTCGTGTGCTGGAGGTCTGTTATATTGCAGGCCCTAAGCTTTAGCTGTCTGGTATTATTTAATTTACAAACAAGTCTTGCCCTCTGCCTTGGGAACAGCCAACACAAGGGAAGCACTGGATTCAGTGGTGTTTGCTTCCACAGAACCTAACCAAACACAGGATGCCTCACTCTAATGCACTACTTCCTCTCATTTTCCTAAAAAGGTTCATGAACCCTCTGCCAAAATGAAAAGTGTTGAGGGAAATGAGTATCTGAATTATCATTCTAGGAATTGCCTTTTGCAGCTGAAACTTCATCATGTAGTCATACCCTCCCCTGCCATCTGCTCGGCTCTGCAACTGCTGCAGAGGCTGAGAGGAACCTCTTCAGCTCCAGAGAACTGAATCTGTGATAGAAATGCCATGCTGTGAAATTTCCTCTCATTTTCCCAGCTTTGAGCACTGGCTCCAGTGGACCACACCTTTAGGCTCTCCAGGTACCATTGCAAGGTACCAGGTCTTCAAAGGCAGCCCTTTCATTAACAGATCACTGTTCACAAAAGTTCATCTGAACCAACCTCATAATCCATGCTTGCAACTCATCTCATCCCCGCTGGGCCAATTGAGTCAGAGAGAATTTAAGGAAACCTCTATCAGTTTTGATGGCTTAATATCATCTTAGTCTGTTGATGTAGTGACAGTGACTTGCTGGCACACAGTAGGCATTGTTCCACAGGTCTAATTTTTAGACTCTTCCCCAGTTTTTGTGAGCAAACACACTGTCTGGTGCTGCTGTTCAAGAATGACATCCCTATCTGTTCTCTCTCTGTTCAAGTCTTTAG